ACGAACGTACGAGACCGACCCGTCCCGTCCGACCTACTAGGTCGTCGCGACTCTCACTCACGGGAGGACGGCGACTACTTCTTACGTACGTATCTCTCTCTCTCTCTCTCTCTCTCTCTCCATTGCATTTTTTACCCGTTCTGTAACTCCATTGTTTACAGACCTCCAAAAGGTAATGTCTACAGGCCAGGTGTTACTCCAAATATTCTACAGCAAAAAATCTTTTGCTCACTTCAATGTTAAGGTCTCTCTCTCTCTCTCGCTCTTTAAACCCCTGCAGGACACTATATCGATAAGCCTTCTACTCTCTCAAAGAACCACCTGAAATAAAATGAATCATTGGTAACAGGTCTATAATTTGTGGTTGCTATTGTTTTAATTTTCTTTAGGGGTTTTGGTTGATTTTGTGGTCTTCATTAATGGTTTGGTTAGCGAGTTTTGGCAGAGAGTTGCTGCAAGTTTGTATATGGATCGCTTCTAAATCAGAAGAAAACCAAAGAGAGGCAAAACACATAATCAGCATATTCCATAGGATGGAATGCAAGAGAGAGAATTTACCCAAGAAAAACGTGGGCCTCTCCTCTCAGGTGTGCCACTCTGTCTTCACTGATATTTTCTCATGCCACTGTGCTCCCCCTGCCACCACCGCCCCCCTTTTCCAGGCACACTCTCTCCCTATTTTTAAGATTTTGAAAGCTGTGTTGAGTTTATTTACCAGTACCGACCATAACATGAGATATATTTCTCTTTATATGTTATCTCTTTGTTAATTAATTGCAGTATGCTTGAAGTTTTTTCTTGAATGCATTGGAGTACTCCTTTCGATATTGGTGATTCTGATCCGGGAATATGCAGTGCTGAAAATGGATTTAGCTGAAATGGAGCACCATATACTCACGGAGATGGGATTTAAATGTCATTGTGAACATCCTTATGATTTTATTTTGAGCTATCTTAACACCCTCAAGACCCCACATAAGGTGAGGCAGGAGGCATGGAATCTTGCTAATGACGGGTACAACATTAGCCGAGTATGGTCATCTGATACAGGCAAATGCTCGTTCATGATAAGAATTGTGTTTGGTTCATGTACACTAAGTAATCTGTTATAAATGTATCTAGCTTGTGTATGGGTAGTCCCTTGTGTTTTGTTCTCCAATATCATATTTCAAGCTCAACTACTCTAGTTTGGACTCTTTTCACTTAATTAGTTCAACTCTCACCATCTAACACCTTTATTTGACTCAAAATCTATGTCTAGTTTCCCATGCTCACATTTGATATTATAAGTTCCAGTTCTGGGGACTCCTATTTCTTTAATGCTTCCTGGTCTGAGTGTAAGCTGTAATCTGCTTTGTTTCATTCAATCTAATTAGAGTGGTTTGGACATTAATTAGTTTACTCTCACCATCTAACATCACTAATTTGGCTTACAATCTATCATGTAGTTCTCGTATTCACATTTAAGAACTTAAGTGTCTCATTTCTTTGGACTTCATCAATTGAATAATTTGTGTATATATTTTTTTATTTCTATACAATTTTTGTCACCATTTTCATCTCGATGAACATCCTCATTGTAATATTTTGTTCGAGGAATAGGTGGTCCTAGTCATATACTTTGGTATATTGGTTTGTCCATAAGGAGTAGGGGCAATGTTTTCCATGATTAATAGGTTACAAAGAGGCTTTTTTCCAGCCAAGGAGCTCTTAACTTGGTCTTAATCAGATCAAACTCCTACTTGACATTGCAGACTTCCTTTTGGAACATGCAATTGCCATCTTAAATGGAAATCTCTCTTCACTTCCATTTGTAACTTTCCGAAGTTACCATGTCAACCCCCATCAAATTTAAGCTCCAAGGTTCTCATAGAATGAACTTGGAACACCTTCACTCCTTATCATGCCAAGGAGCTTCACTGCACCAAATCGTCCTTTATTTATACACACTAGTTGTCCTTAACTTTAATTGCAGTGAACTGCTACATGGTTAGTCTTCTCGCTTTTAAAACTAAGGCACCGTTGTCATTCTTAATGAGATTTGTCTCTTATCCCTCTCATTTCCAATCCCATATACAATTCCTCAGCAATTCCAACAACAAAGCTTTTAAGTCATTCATCACTATTGTTCTTCATATGCAATTTGCCTCAATGCTCTCTCCCATGACTCAACTCCCTCGTTTGAGAACCCTGATGTTGTATTATTTGATTCCTTGTACATCTTTGAAAATATCACTAAAAAAAAAAGGGTAAGCAAAGATCACTAACCAATAGGTCTAGAAAAGTCTGAAGACCAAGGCGCAATGAGGAGAGCCAAAGTCTTTGTAAGAAATAAGATGAAAAATAGACATACAAAGGAGGTGTAAATCACTTTGGAAAACTAACAACAAATGAGGAGATGCTCCAGTGCCACTCCATGCATCAGATATAAATTAGGAATAGAAAGTCTCTTCGTGACCTCTTTGTGCATCTCAGCTTCAGGACACTTCACCACTTTGTGTCCACTCATTTAGAAGTCCATTTTTTTCAATGACTCGTTGTGAGTCCACTTTTTTCAATGAAATTTATGATGCTCATTTGGAAGTCGACCTTTTTCAAAGGAGGCACTATGCAAGCCTCCTTTTCTACTACTAATTTAAAGAAAACGATGTCGAACCACTCTTTCTCACAACAGAGGTAACCCCCCTCCCCCACCCAATTTGTCTTTTCTTTCCTTACCCTATTAGTAACCCCATACAAGAAAGCGAGTGAGGGCTACAGGCAATGCATTCTCCTATTATTATCCATTCTTTTGGCGTATGGTCCATTCTTTTGGATTCCGTTGTCTGAGGAGAGAAGAATATTTAAAGTTTTATGCTCACTTGAAAAGCTCTATTGTTACTAAATGCGGGATCTGAAGAATTTTTGGGCACAAACAAGAATTGAAAAAAATGTGTAGATTAGTGTTTTCTTTGTTTCCTGCCTTTTTGGGTGGGTAAGTGGTGGGTTTGTAACCCTTGATATTAAATTTCGGTTTGACTGCCCTCACCACCGAGCCAAGAACCCTGCTCCCATGTTGGGAGAGTTTGTTTTCTAAACAAATTTTAATGTTTGAACCATTATCTTCCTTCTATCAACCATGTGTCTTACCCCACTTGACCAAAGCCCGAGTAGAAATACTATTAGCATGCTAATTTGCTGTCATTGAAATTTCAACTCAAACCCTTCTACGTATTGGGTTCTCTAACCGAGTTATGAAAGTTTGCTATTGATACAAATCATCACTATTAGTTTACCTTTTTTATTAGTTTTACTAATTTTTGGTCGTTTAATTGGGATTTGGGAGCTGTGCCCATCATTCTGATCCTTTTTGAAATGTTGTTTCCATCATTTTGATTCTTTTAATATGAGCTACACGTACTAGGCTTCTACTCATTGACAAGAGTTATTTATCAAACAAAAGTGATACATTTTGGGGACACAATTTCATCCGTTTTGTATATGTGTGTGCTTATGTCTGTTCATTGTATTTCTGAAGCGCTAGTTGGTTTCCTTTCCTGCAGCTTACGCACAACCTTATGCATTCGCTTCAAAAGTGAAGTCATTGCATGTGCGGTTGTGTATTCTGCCTCTCGCCGGCTTCGGTATCCCCTTCCAGAAAATCCACCATGGTGGGAAGTCTTCGATACAAGGAAGTCACAGATTGATGAAGTTTGCAGAGTCCGTGCTAAGCTTTATTCTCTTCCCAAGCCAATGTACATGCTTGTACACAATGATGACATTTTGTGTGTTTCTTCAGTGAATAGTTAATTGTAGTTGAGAGAGATAAGAAATTAGAACTTACTTGCAAAGAAGATTACCTCTCCTTCATCAATCATTATTCACTATCTGTTGATCTGAAGGATGTCTTTGGGAAGGAGTCCTTTTGCAATAAATAGCCAATCAGAATAAGGGTGCCTAATGTGGTCAATTCAACACTGTTTGCTAGCATCTTTTGCAATTGAGCCAGTATGGAGAAAACAGCTATTAGCCTATGTTTTACAATGGGAAAGAAAAGACTCTATGAGGTATTCTCTCTATTCTTTCTCTGTTTCCAATTACTAACTGCTGCCTTTGATTTGTAAAATAGTGTGTATTTTCCCAAAACCTCGGTATGGAGTTCGGAAATACAAAATTTGATAAAGAATGTGCCTTAGAATGCCAAAATTGTGGTATCATCATGCAATTATGTGCAACTTTTGTGAGGTTTAATGTTCTGTACAAAAGTATTGTGGGACTGGGGCAGATAATGATTGTTAAGTCTACCCTAATTCCCTCTTTCGTTAGCATGTGGGAATTATCCTCTCTCCATATATGCATGAACCTTACATACAAATCAGAGTATAGATCTTAAACTCGGTCTAAAATTTGATCCAATCTCCATGGACGAGGGGCAAATTGATCTCCTCAGGCTGTGGCATTGACTGAGTCTCCTTAAGCAATCAGATTTAGTTCGCAACTTATGACAAAGCTCTTGACTTCTAACAGTGCTAGTACTTCGTGCATTGAGGTGTCACAATGACTAGCAGCAGCAAGTCATTAGTGGGTTAAGAGAGCATGGACTACGAGGTCCGTATAAATTACACCAATAGTACCAGAGTTTGGATTCGCGAATGAACTCATTAGAAGTTGATTGGAATCTCTCTATATATTTATTCACTTTCTGTATGTGCTTTTCTTTTTCGGTTTATAATGATGTGGTATTCGGTTTATAATGATGTGGTAGGGAAGAAAAGGGCAGAACCTATTCTGATTGAAATCAATGGATGTCATTTTCTAAAATTTGACAAATATTGGTCAAATATATATATATATATATATATATATAATTTTTTTTCAAAACTGTTGCCATTGTATTATTGTATTGACGATAGAGATTTGTACAAGATGCCAAAAATGGCTATCCACAGATTGGGAGCTTTGTACAAAAACCACCTAGACAGTGGTGGTGTCAAAAACTGCTATACAAGCATGTGTATACAAAGAACAGGGGTCCATAGAAATCACAAACAACAGGTTCTCTAGTGAGTCACCTGGGAAGCACGTTCTTTAGTCAGAGTGTTGGCTAAGTGATTGGCTTTGCGCCAGGTATGTGTCCATGAGACCTGAATATGCTTGCAAATGTAAAATATCTCATAAAATCTCCCGCCGTAGTGGAATCCGCTCGGCCTATGGGGAGTACAAATGAGAGGAAGGAGAGGCTTTCATGGTTCTTGAAATCCCCCCTATACCCACCAGGCAAGGGTTGCCCAGGGAGCAGCTGTCGAAGTTGAATTTGGTTTGGTCGGGATCCGATAGTCTCCAGAGGGAGGCATGGGGAATTTGACTGGGCCTGTGTTGGAGGTAGAGCGATACTTGAAGTGGCTGTGGTTAGTGGCCAAGAAGATTACTGTGGACCTGATGCTCTCCTTTAAGGCTTGAGGATGGGTTATTTGTTCATAGAATATCCGGTGGTTGCGTTCATTCCAAATTGTCCAAAAAATGGCTGCTACTGGGGCCTTCCACACCAAGGTACCTGATTTGGGCCAAGGGAGTAAAAGCATCGGGTGAAAGAGGTGGCTGATGGACTTTGGTGTCACCCAAGTCCAATTGAACTGTTGAAGAAGATCTTCCCACAGTTGGATGGCAATACTACCAGTGTTTCAAAAAGCTCTAGGCGGCACCTAGGCAACTGGGGGGGTCCAGGCCATCCAACGCCTAAGTGGGCACCCAGAACCTAGGCGGCCCAATAGAAGGAAAAATGTATGTAGTCTAGTGTCTAAGTCTAACAGTATAACTATATAACATATAATCTATAATTCCATTAATGAAGAGAATTTAGATAGTCCATAATCCATATTTTCATACAATGCTAGAACCATACAAGCATACACACAAGAGTTAGATAGTAGAAATTAGAAACTAAAAAAAATATATATATACAGAAAATATACAGTCTAAGACTCAATAGTCAATACCAAGAGTCAAGTGTCTTCATTCTTCAATCATCATCAGGAGTAGGGTAAGCCTCATCATGTGCATAAGATTTGAGGCTATCATCATCAGAGTCATCTCCCTCGTCAACATTACGCTCGTCCTCTGTTTCTTCTGAATTTGCCTCTTTCTCCTCTTCTTCTATCTCCCTCTTGCTCTATGCCGATGAGGCCCTAAGAGTCTAGGCTATTCTACCCGGTGCCCTTTCACCCTTTCTTTCTTTTTGTACTTCCTTGAACTCAAATATTGTATAATCTCTTCCCTGGTAGCCTCCAAGGTGTTTCTTAAACCGATAAATACCCTCATTAGTATCATTTCCACAATAATTACAACTAATACAATTTTTGTCATTCAGATTCGGGTTATAACCATACTTCCAACCCGGATCACCACTTCTAGAAGAACCTGGAGGAGATATTTTTATAAAACAAGGCTCATTTTCTTCCTTTTCGAGTTCTATAGAATTTAAATATTGTCTAATCTCATCCCGAATAGGTTCAGGAACCTTTTTACAAAAAGAAACATTCCCTTTAATACCAACAATGTGTTTTTTGAATCTGTTAATACCCCATTGATATCTTTTTAACAAAACTTACACCTTATACAATTTTTATCGTTTGGTTTCGGGTTATAACCATACTTCCAACCCGAATCGCCTCTTCTAGCAGAACCAGAAATAGACTTATCCAAATGACAAGGATTTTGTTCCTATTTGTGTTTTACTGAACTCATATATTGGTTAATCTCCTTTCTGATAACTTTAGAAACATTTTTACAAGGGGTAACATTCTCTCTAATACCGACAAGATGTTTCTTAAACCGGTTATGCCCCCTTATTGTATCATTTTCACAATAATTGCATCTTATGCAATTTTTATCTAAAGGATTTGGGTTATATCCATGTTTCCAACCCGCATCACCACTACGACTAGATCCTGAAGAAGACATCTCAAATTAATACAAGCAATTTAAAAAATAAAATTTTGCACTTATTTTGATTGATGGATCTCCAAACTTCCACCTCTGAGATATTTTCTAGTGCTAAATTGCCTAAAGACAACCAAAACTAAATTTAATCTTAATGGGTGATGTTTGGATCCATTTTCCGTAACTCTGAGAAACACTTTGATCCAATGAAAATCACAAAATCGAGTTTTTGTTTTAGGTTTTTCTCTCTGTCTCTAAAATGGACTCTAGTGGTTTTAGGTTTCAAATGAACTTAAAACCCACATTTAAAAACAATTGCTTTTTAGAAAAACCCATAAAAAGCCCCTCAATAAAGGGCATTTCTGCCCTTGGGTGGGGCACAGGCCTTGGGCGTCCGCCTAGGGATATCCCCCCTAATTTGGCCGCCTAGGCTTGGGCAATGCCCAGGCCTTTTGGACAGCTTAGGCACTGAGCGGTTCACTTTTAAATCACTGAATACCGCAGTGGATGAAAAGGTGAGTTGGTTTCCTTGTTCTCCAAGCATATAGCGCAGCAGTTAGGAATAGTCAAGCCCCTCCTTTGGCGTTGTTTGACCGTTAAAGCTCTCTCCGATTGGGCAATCCAATTGAAGACTTGAATTTTTGGGGGAATGAAAGGGATCTTGCTTTGGCAACATAGAGTGGGGAGGTAATGGGTCATGCAAGGGGGCATTAAGTTTATGGTAGAAAGTGGAAATAGTCAATACTCCAGAGGGGGCAGGAGACCGGATGATTTTTTCCTCGCCCTACGAAGGGAGGTAGAAGGAGTGGAGGATGCACCAGAGTTCCAAGAAAGCATATACCTTGCTGTCGCTGAGTTGTCTTCGGAAGTTGGAGTTCCAAGAGCGAGAGTTCCCCTCTAAGACAATGATCCACGATCGAGGCGCTCGGGTTTCTAGCTAGGCAGAAGGGGTTTGGGAAATGGACCATGAGGGGAGTATGGCCGATCCAAAGGTCAGACCAAAACTTGATTCTATTCCTTGTCTGTTAGTGGTATCAATATGGGAATTGAAAAGGTGGAGATGGTGAAGGATCGACCTCCATACCTCAGAAGAAGAGTTGTTGGCACTACCAGGAGGCAGCCAGGATGAAGACTCGAGGCGATATTTGTGGTGGAGCATCTGTTGCCACAGGTGGCCTTCCTGAGTTGCTAGATGCCATGCCACCACCATTTGCTGAGGAAGGACAAAAATTGTTCTTTTGTAAGCTGCGGATCCCCAGACCACCTATGGCTTTTGGCTTGCAAACAGAGAGCTAGGATATGAGGTGATATTTCTTTGATTCCCTGTCACTGGACCAGAGGAAATTGCGCAACATTTGTTCAAGGGTACAGGCGACTGAAGCAAACATTTGGAAGAAGGACATTTGAAAGATTAGAACATCTGTGAGGGTAGTCTTGATGAGGGTGATTCTGCCTGTAGGGGACAAGAACCTCCCCTTCCACGTGGCCAATTTGAATCAAATTTATCAATGATGTAGTTCCATTGGCTTAACTTGGATTTCCCAGGGCAGAGTGGCAGGCTGAGGTAGGTAGATGGGAGAAGATACACCCCACAACCCCACTTATTAGCAAAGTCACGGGTGGATTGAGGGTCTAAAGAGATGCTAATCATCTTAGACTTAGCCATGTTCACCTTGAATCCTGTGGCTAGCTCGAAGCACTTGAGGACGAGGAGTAAGGTGTTGACCTGCTGCTCTGATGCACCACAAAAGAGGAGGTTGTCATTGGCATATTGCAGGTGAGGAATTATGGGGCCATTATTGCCGATCTTGAAACCCTCGAGCATTCCATGTTGGTACATCCTAGCAATAAATATGCTAAAAACCTCGGTTACAATGGAAAACAGGAAGGGGGAGAGGGGGTCGAGGGTGCCATTGGCGTATTGCAGGTGACAAATTATGGGGCAATTATTGTTGATCTTGAAATCCTCGAGCATTCTGTGTTGGTACATCCTAGCAATAGATCTGCTAAATCAACTACAATGGCAAAAAGGAAGGGGGAAAGGGGGTCTCCCTACTGAAGGCCCCTAGATGAGGAGAAAAAGCCCCAAGCCATTTATAAGGATTGAAAAGAAGGGGTGACAGAAACACCTGCTTATCCACTTTCTCCAACGATTGCCAAAGCCCATCCTTAGGAGGTTTTCATCAAGGTCTGCGCAATCGACATGGTTGTAAGCCTTCTCCCTATCCAACTTGATGATGAGCCTCGGGGTTTTGGAGTAGTTTCTAGAGTGGATACACTGGTGTGCCACTAGGGCACCATCAAGGATCTGGTGGTCCTTGACGTAAGCGCCCTGATGATGGGAGATGACCCAGTTTAGAACTGCCTTGAGTCTTGAGGCTGGAAACTTTGCTAGGATTTTGTACAAGCTCTTGATCAAACTAATGGATCTGACGTCTTTTGAGTTTGTCGGCCCTTCCACTTTGGGGATGAGAGCAATGAGCACGCCTTCGTGGATGACACCTCACTTGTGGAACTCCACAAAAAAGGATAGCGTGTTGGCATGGAGTGGTTCCTAAAAGTGTTTGAAGGGAGCATGGGGAAGCTATCCAGTCCCAAGGCAGTCTTGGCCTAGCTCGTTAATGGCTATAAGAATCTCGCATCCTCAATTAAGGGGTGTTCTAGCCTAAGGGCTTGGGCTGAGGGAATAGAGAGCAAGGAGAGATCAGCCATCCTAGGAGTGGGCCTGATCGGTGCTTGAAAGAGCTGTTGGAAGAAGTCGATAATGGTGTTCTCAATCTGGGAGGGTTGGTCAAGGGTGATGTCTTGGACCTTGATTTGAGTAATGTTGTTGTCCCTTGATTTGAGTAATGTTGTTGTCCCTCCTCTTGCAATTGGCCATTTTGGGAAAGAAAGCCGTGTTCAAGTCTCCACCTTTCAACCATTTTACCCTAGATCACTGAGCCCAGGATACCTCTTCCTTTCTAAGGTGGTTGTGGTAGTCGTATTTGAGCTAGGCTCTAAGGAGTATTTCGTTTGTGTTTAGAGGTTGAGACTCCTCTATGAGATCCAGTCGTAGTAAATGCTTATCATCTGAGCTTTATCTTAAACTATTTGGGTTGGCTACATGAATCATGTTCAGCTATTCCTCTCTATCAAGGGTCATACATTTAGTCAGACCATAAGTCAACATGTCTTTTTTTTGGCTATTTCCATCCATGTCCTTTGCGGCCTTCCATTTGCCCTTTTAGAGCCTTCCACTTGAACTAAATTACTCCTCTTTACCGGTGGTTTTTAGGTCAGCGCTACATATGACCAGACCTCTTAAGTCTACTTTCTCTCATTTTATCGCCTATTGGAGCTACCCTTAAGTTCTCTCAAATATATGTATTTTGAATTCTATCATTCCTTGTCTTGCTACTCATCATGTCACCATCCTCATCTCATTCTATGGATATATTGTTTCTTGACCACCCAACATTCCGTCCCGTAAAGCATAGTTGGTCTTACAACAATCCTATAGAACTTCTCGTTCACTTTCACTGGTAGGCGACGATCATATAAGACTCTAGAAGCCTACCCTGCTCTAATTCTAAGATTAAATTTTTTCTCAATCTCTCATTTCTCATGGATCATCGAACCGAAGATATCTAAAATTTAGTTGAGAAAACATATTTGTAATTTAAGATGTTCTTACTATGTTTATTGTGTATATAAATTTAATTATTGGAAATAGTGTGTACATATTTTTTATATATTTATTGTAAGAACACTCCTATGACACTCCCAAACTGGGGAGATCCGTCCTATCCACTATCCCTCGCTGCTGCACCCGTGCTTGCTTCCAACAGCTATGATTCAAATTGACTTCTCTCTGTAGGTGGGTATACGCGCCTGGATGATATGTTGCCATTCCCTGTCAAGATCAAGGACTGAGTACCCCAGAAACTCTTTTAATGCAAGTGCCCATGAGATGATGTGGGCTTTTGTTTGGTCGAATAGGGTGGAAAGTTGCAGTCATCTATTGTTGGAAATACGTGATTGCGTTCCAACCATATGGACCAAATGATTATCAGCACTGAGAGGAACCGACGGCTGGAAAAGGAGGGGAAAAGCATTGGAAAAGGCTCTCAACTGGTGGTGGGTAGACCTATGTAAGTTCAAATAGTTTCAAGCATTCTGACTGGAGGTGTATGAATAAGTGGTCTACAAATCTTCAACTTCCCTGCACATCGAGCATCAGTATGGTAGATGGATGCGCAAGTTCTATGTGTCCAAGGCGAGGGGTGTGTTTAAGATCACCAACCAATTAGTGGCTGGAGCAATCGTAAGGTTATAGCTTGGGTTGGATGTTGTTGAAAGCTCTATTTTAAGAAGAGACTGAGAATTTACCTGAACTTTCAGGTCTCTAGACTATCTTATCGTGACCTTGACATGGCAACAAATAGTTCCATAGGGTGAGTTCATCTCCACACTAACAACCGACTTGGATGTTCAGCCATGGTTGAAATGGTCACTTCGTGTCTAAAATTGTACTGACATATTTTCTTTCTTATTGCACTATTTAGCATATTGGCTTCTTTCATTATATAGAAGAAAAAGGAAAACTGATATTACGAGGAAAATTAGTTTTGCTAAAAGGGCAGTTTCTTGTAGTCTTGTGATGGTTTCTTGCCTGTTGAACTTAACTTATGACAGCAAAGCTGGAAAAAGGGCGCATTCACTATTTTACAGCAGGAAGATCTGATACTTTGAAATGAACGCATTCGCCAATTTTGAGCAGGATGAGTTTTGAGGCCTTGTTTGAATATGCCTTCTCTTCTAGAAAAACATGATGAGTTTTGAGGCCTTGTTTGAATATGCCTTCTCTTCTAGAAAAACATGCACTGTATAGGCCATAAAACCATAACAGCCGTCAATATCATGGAAAGAGAGCCAAAAGCATCCAAGAGGAAGAAAACGAGATTGCCATCAACGAAGTAAAAACTCTGCATACGCGTTTAACTATGCATTGACAACCACTCTTTGATTAATGTGTGTAACTGGTATCGCCACTCATGTTGCTGTCAAGATAAAATATGTGGGGATGTGATGAGAGCCAACATCCAAGCCCAGCAACATAAGAATTTAATCCTTTAGAAAATTTCTTGTCATGAAATTAACTCTCTCTCTCTCTCTCTCTTTCTCTCTCACACACACACATACACACCCACACACATAGACACTTACAAAATACACACACACATACACACCCACACACATAGACACCCACAAAATGGCTGGCAGAGAGACTAGAGGCTAGCTAGGACTCAACATATCAAGTTTGTGTAGCCCAGGGAGGAAAACTATTAAGGTCTATAGATCAACATTAGCTATTCCTCCCAGGTCTTGTTTTCCAGATGCCCGCCCGTTACAATAAAAACTAGTTTTCATTTTTTTTTTCTTGCGCATTTTAGGGGGCGTGTTGAAATAATAAATTTGATTTTCTATGTTGCTTATTTTGTGGAGAGCCTCACTGAAGAGAGAACTTGACCTCTTCATATTCTATGATTCACAAGCTTCGGTTTTTCCTCTTTTCCTTAGTTTTAGACAAGTCAAAACATTGCACAGGTAGACAAAAGTTGGTGGAACATAATTGTGATAACCATTTTTGAACTTAACCAACCTGTTGGTTGGAAAACTGCCATTTTATATTCCTTCAAAAAATAGGAATTACACTAACTAATGCCACTCCTATCGCAAAACAGATGACAAACTATGGTGCACATTGATGTTCAGTTTGTTACGTGGACCAGCCATCCATTGTCGAAATCAGTGTTTTAAAACCCACCGATTCAGATCGGGAATTGCTGATCCAAAAATATCAACCCATTCAATACCCCAGAATTGGAGTGTATTCTAGATACCATACTAGACCAATGTGAACAACATTTGCCATGATATATACTTTCCCTTGCTAAATTAGCAACAAGTTCGCACGTTTGATTTTTCCCTACATTCATACGTTATTATTCTACCATGATAAGTACGGGAATACTTATATATCGGCTCACCACAAAATCAAAATTGATTTGGTTTTGCTTTAAAAAATCAGCTGTGAAAATTGGGGAGAAAAATACAGATAAAAAAAAAAAACTGTAAATAAAAATGCTGTAAATATATTGCATTTGGCTCAAAAAATAGGTGTGAAAATTAATATATCTTTAAAATTCTAAGAAACAAGTAATTTGCCAAAGCAATCAATTAGTAAAGCGTATATGAAAATTTTACTAAACTAATATAATTAAGTAAAATAATTTAGATATATCATGACTCTCATCCCATTATCTAAAATTATATACAAAACAAAGCAAAAGCAATGATACTGTTAGAATGATCCAAATTTAAATATAAGGCATGACAGAGTTATTAGAAAATTTAAAATTTAAATATAAGGCATGACAGAGTCATTAGAAGTAATAGAAAGGTTAAGAGCTTGGGAATGTGTATCTCTCAAGTCATATAGGCATCAATCCATCATATCTTTTGTCGAGGTGTCCTTATATCCATCTTTTCAAAAACCTCTTCTAGTAATGAACCAAATTCTTCAAAATTAATCGCATTATTATTGTACTTTTTATTTTCACGAGATGCATCTATCATCTTTGAGTTCAATATTATATAAACCAAGTAAATATAGTTGTTGGCTTGGATTTATTCTTTTTTTTGGTTTGTATCCTCCTAAAAAACGTTCCAATTTCTTTCGCATGCTGATGAATTGCATGGTTGGCTCAAAATCTGAATAGCAATCATTTGAACTTATGAAATGCTTTCTCCACATGCTTCCTACCAATTTTTTACGCAATACCAATTTTTTTAGGCACATATTCAAGACACAATTAAAAGTAAAACAAAACTTATTTTCTTAAAGTAATGGAAAAACTAATAATATAGAAGAAAGACACTGACGATGATGAGTTGTTGAGAATAATCCCGTTGCCATACCATGAAATATATTTAGATCATGTGTATGGTACTTCCAACAACTCTGAAAATAATGTATTTGTGTTCTCTTTGGGGATCTTTATATTTGAAATCAAGGTGATGTTGCCTTTACCTCATAATTATCAAGTCTAACAAACTCACCACACATTAAAGATGAATTAATAAATATGGCAGCCGCATGAATGAGGTCAAATATATTTTTATTTTGACTCTTTTCAAAATTCTCCAACAATTCAAGATATCTAGATTCATTACCATTACAATTCATCTTTAATATTTTTTTTAGCCTTTTATATTGCGTCATATAAGTAGCCCATGGTTGACCCTTCATTATCAACTAAACGAAGCACCTTGATAAGAGGTTCTAGCACAGTGATTGTATCTACTGCATCATACCAAATATTGGAGCTTTAAATTATTTCAATGATTTTGCCCCATTTATACTCTTGCTATAAATCATGTTTCTCCACTCAGAGGGTGCTACCATCAATATCAAACTCTCTTCTGCTTGTAGTATAAATTTAATCATAAAAATGTTAGTGGAAAATATGATTTTAATATTTTTTTAGTTCATTTCCACTTGTGTGCTTTCTCATTAAATTTAAAACAATTGTACGCTGCTACAAAAAATTTATTATCACCTTAGCTTCCTTTATGACATTGGCTTCCTTTATGACATCTTTTACCCAAATGGCTTTCTTATTAGTGCCTTCTACAAGCAAATCTATACCATCGGCAACACTCCATGTTGTATGAATATGAGAGAACCTAGATTCTATTAGATCGTCTATTATTAGTGACAAGTTGACCAATATTTTGGGACCCTAACTTCTTAATGAATGTAAAGCATTTTTCAATATATAATCATGTTTTCCTATAACCAAATACATCAAATGAATTTATAAAAGTTGACCCCTTAGGACAATAAGCAACAACATTGAGGAAATAACGGTTTTTCATATCCGACTAGAGAGTTGACATCAAAGCGCATCTTGATTGAAGCCATGACTCTTTTATTGAAGCTATATATACATCAAATTATGTCATAAGTTATTGTACCAATTTAGTACAAAGAGATGAGTAACTTGACAATGCGTAACAACACCGTAATTGATACATGCATTTATCATATTACCAAAGGCTATATCCCTTATATTCCAAACCTCACACCTGCATGAAAAAGATTGCGAAGCTGATCTTCTACAGCATCTTGAGCTAAATTAACTTAACTAAACTAAACTAAAAAAGAAATAGGCATCATTCAATTCGTAATCTTGAGGACGGGCATGAGCAGTGTTTTTTTTTTAAAATAAAAAAATAGCAACCATTAAATTAAAATAAGAAAATAAGAATGCATTTATCATATTATCAGACTATTGTGCATTGATAACATAAAATGCAATGTTATTTATGAGAAAAGCACTGGCAATCCTTTTGTCCCCAAAGTGTTTATCTTTTTTGTTCAATAATAATTGTAAAAAACTTTATTGTAAATGAGAACTACCAGTAGAAATATTAAATGAAACATAAGAATTACCTAGGCCTGTTGAATTTGGAATTTGCAACAAAATTTTGAGCATATGATGTGGTTTTATTCTTTTTTTTTGGGGTGCTCTGAGGATACTCATGTGTTGCATATACAACCATTGTGTGAACATCATCAGATATTAGAGGGCAATGTTGTATATTTCCATTGTTCTCATAAATGATAGTTGAATCGTATGATTCTTGTAGGAAAGCCTTCTCCACAAAATTTGCAAATTAAGTTTCTTTTTTTTCACAATAATCACGAAAAAAGATAGTTTGGCCTAATTATTGTTGCTTCTTTTTTTTCTTTTTATAAAAATAAATATAGATAAGCAAATTTGATCATGGAAATAACAAAATATAAAAGAAATAAAAATACAGGTTTAGTGCAAACTACACAACATACAAATATCAACGCTCTATATGGAGTTGGCATTTGATATTTCAATGGAACTTCGTAGAATATGTTTAGAATTGTCAACTATCTTACAAACAGTTATTGAATATCTTTCTATATCTAAATGTAAAAGCAAACAAAAATAATAGACACTAAATTTATGTGTATTGAAAATATTTCATATATATTGATCATAATCTGCTATCATAGCCATATTACTCTCTCTCTCTGAACTGTGACTGGCATCTTACTCTATACAATTGTGATTCCCTATCTAAAAAGCCATTGACTGGTTTGTATAGAGGACGTTGGCTATTTTAATAGACCGAAGGTTTGGCCAAGACCTGTCAAAGGCTTGCAATAGGGAGATCAGAGAGGCCACCAAGCAGTAGAGGAATAGGTTCTCGATGTTTTCTTGGTCCTGCAAGCAAATGATGCGCATTTGTTTGGAAGTGGAAAGCCTCTCCTTTGTAGCGGATATGTAGTTTGGTTCTCGATGTTTTCTTGGTCCTGCAAGCAAATGATGCGCATTTGTTTGGAAGTGGAAAGCCTCTCCTTTGTAGCTGATATGTAGTTTTCTATCTTGATTAGGTTTGAGGATTGAGCCTTAATCTGTATGTTCTTTGAGCATTTGATTAATTTAAATAAGAATTTTTTACGACAGCATGGTGACGATATGC